TCCTTCTTTTTTTTTAAAGATTGTACTCCGGAGTATTATAAGCTGTTTCCTAACAATACATGGAATATTACTTGTTTCTGGTGAATTAAAAAAATTTTGAGCAACAGTAGAACTAGAAAACAAGTAAATATTTCACTTGAGTTTAAACGTTTTTCATTAATAAGTTGTGTTTTAAATGTATATCCTTTCATTACAATAAATATCCATTGTTTAAAAAAATAAAGCTATTTTCAAATAATATAAATGTATTTGTAAAGTAATTTTACATATTATGCCAAATTTTTAAACAGTATTCCTACAAAACTATATTTGAAAATGAAGTGCACACAAGTAGATACTATTTCATTTGAATCATGAACACCTGTTAACGTATGAAAAACCATTTAATATTAAGCTACATACAGTGGTCCATATAAGCTTTTGATATAGGTAGTTTACTCATTAAAATAAACTGCAATGCTGAAAATGAGAACAACACTGAAAATTTTCATATATTGGGGTTTCAGTGAATTTATTTTTAATCATTTACCATGAAATGTTGGCACTCTTTTGCTAGGTTTACTATTTACTTGCTCTTATTATTATTTCTCTATGAATATAACTGTGGTACTATATGTGTATATATATTATTATTACTTTTTTTTTTATCAACAATTTGATCACTTAGAAGCAAGGCTTTAATTGACAATTATATTGCATGTTTTTTGGGTTTAGGTTTTTCAACAGTCTTCTTGTTACTGATTATGGGATTAAGAAGTTTATGGAATAACATAATGTTTTCAAAACTATCATGCCTACTTAATTTATAATTCTTTAAGGTAATAATGAACAATTTCAGGATGTTAACCACCACCAGTTTTGCATCCTATTTGATGCAAGCTGTTTATTCTGATAATTACTTTGTAATATTTAGCTTTGTTGTTTACTTCTTTAGTTAACTCTATTATAATTGCGATATTTCTGGTATCTTATAATTATTTATACATTACAGATATTTCTTAGGGTTCAACTTTTATTACTTCCAAGATACCCACTGTAAAACTAACCGTGTGTATAGTTGTGTTGGACACAACATATAGTGTGTTTAGTAAATTATTTTTATTACATTTAACCATATTGAGATGGGTCTTCTTCCTATGGTCAGGGGTCAAAGGCCATGTCATTGCATTTGTAGACTTACATTTGAAATTTTATTGAATTACTATTTTATGAATGTCTGTCAATAAGTTTGGTATCAAATTGTAGATTATAAGTCAAACTTTAGCATTATACATTAGTTAATTTCTTATTTTAAAAGTAAATACTTAAAAAAAAAACACCTAAATATTGATATTTGTGTGTCACGTGGTATGTTGAATGCAGTTTTGGTTCAAATTACCAATACTGACAAGCTAGAATGTAAGATAAAAACCTCCTATCTTTTCTATTTTCTGGGATATTATTATACTTAGTGAATCAAACACAGTGGCCCCCACCCACCTGTTTCATTCTTGGAAATACCTGCACAGCCCAATGATGTGTATAACCAATCAAAAATTCAGAATGTTCCCCACATGGTTTTCTGAGCCTCTGTGAAGTGTTTACATGAGGAGCCCTTTCTTTTCATGGTAGAATCAAGGAGGTAAGGCATTATGGAGCTTGAAAACTGATATTTGTAGACCCAAATACAGCTTAGTTACTAAGCCTGATAAAGTGCAGTGGAATGCTGTGGTATTGACATAGTAATTTATGATTTTTTTATTTCAAAATGCATATACATAAAACCTAAAAAAAATATTTTGTTTTACATCCTCCACATGCAAATTTTGACAAGGTATAGCAAATTATGGCAAGCAGCAAACGAGTACAAAGTTCAAAAGTAGAAGATCATTGTTTTCTAAACTTCTTTAGTTACTCTCCTATGTTTTAAAAAAATAACTGAAATTTAAAAACTTATTTGTGAATAGTAATAATATATATATACATGTGTATAATGTATTATAACCGAAATGTGACTGTATTTTAGAAAATACTGATCAGCTAGAACAAAGCCAAGACAAGTCAGTTTGTAAATGCCAGTTTTATGTGGTAACATGTGTGCACATGCACTGCATCAATGCAACTTCTGTAAAGTTAGTCAGAAACTGCTGAAAGGTAAAAAAATATATATATGTTTAATTTTATGAGATTTAAACTATTTAGACTGAATATTTGTGGTTTTGTGTTATAATTTGTAGTCATTCTAGAATAAAAAGTCTAATTTATATTTAGTTCCTAATTTTTTATGGTGGTTACGAGGTCAGTCAAATTGCCAAACCTATACTGATGTACAATAGTGAAAATAAAAAATAAAATATAAAGTTTTCTTCAACAAAAAATGACATATGATAATTACCTGGAGATTATAGAGATTTCGCATGTGAAATTTGACAATTTTCTGATGCATAAAATTATTTTTTTAACCTTAAAATCAAAATTATTTTGCATGTTGGATAATCAATATTCAAAAAGAAAAAATGCTGGAGCAAATAATTAATTAAAACTCTGATATTTTGTGTATGAATGCCTTGTAATGTTTACTGATAATCTGCAAACATTTCGTGAAGGTACATGCACATTTTATAAAAATTGCAGCATAACTTTATGATTATGGGCTGGGTTGAATCCACACACCCATAGTAAAAGGCATTTAATTTAGGTTACTTTAACTGGAATATTAAGATTTTCATTATTTGTTGCAATTTCATCATTCTTAAATACTAACTTTTATGAAGTGAGTACGATAGTAATGTGTTATGTTAATTTAACACAGATGTTAAATTATTTTGAATGTTAGTCATATCATTCTTTACTGCTCAATATGAGCATATAAAAAAAGAGCATATATAACTAATAAGAGCATATAAAAGCATTTCAACTATACTCTGTTGAGCTTACACTGGCCTTGGGTGGGTTTTATGCTTTACAGTACCAGTAATCATCATACTGGCATTGTTATTTTGCACAGTCTTAATTAAAACATTGTATATAACAGTTATGTATGAAACATCAATTTTAGTGGTGTATAATGCATAACTTGGCAAAGTACAACCTTACTGAATAAGAAGTAAAACTTTAGATGATTTACTCATTGAAGCATTATATACTCTAAAGTCTAAACTACTTTTCTTTTAATTCTACACATTATATCTTTTGTCATAGCTTTGAGTAAGCTTGTTAATTATTAAGAGGATATATGGTTTAGCTAGCATTAGAGATAGTTTTGCTCATCACATTCTGACATATAGTACCTATGTGAATTTTTTTCAACTTGATTAGTTATCAAACAAAAACAGCAATCTTTGGTACACATATATAAAAATAACTATACAAGACATTATCGAAGCAAGTGATCAGTGTCAAGCACTCAAAATATAACAAGGTAATATTCCTTTATTTTTTCTTCATTATTTACATACCTTTTCTCTATCATTTAGTTGAGTTTGTTTAAACATAATACATGACACTGGTTGGTAGAGCTTGAGGATTAGTGGAATATGATAATCGATTACATTTATTCAATTGATTATTCTTGGAATAATCAGAAAAAAAAAAGCAATTTTGATTACTTGATTTTTTTTGGTGAAACTAATCAATAGGTAATAGAGTTAATTGAGCAGTTTTACTGGGTGGTGATGAAGTTTTTATCACAATACATATAGTACAGGGCTATGTGTAAATTCACATAATTAAGCTTATCAGATGTTTTGTCTGTAGCTAGTAATTGTGCAGTATTGAATTGTAATCTTCAACTACAGTAGCAAAATAAAAGTCTAAAAGAAAAGATATATGCTCAACAATATAGGATAGACTGGATAAGACTTGAAACTTGCCTAGAAGTGTTGGTAATTGTACTCAAACATTTGTTATTTTTGTGTTATCAAGCAGATTTTTGTAATTAATATTCAAAGTGAAGTTTTTGCCCTTCTGGTTCTTTTCCTCAACTTCTTCTTTCAAGGCTATATTGTGAAATTAGAAGTTACTGAGTTATACGTACTACTTGTAAATGTCTGAGTCCAGCACTTTTGAATTTTGAGTATATTTTGTTTCTAAGAATCCTAGTATTAATGTGTGTAATATTCTTAGCATAGAATAAATGATTCATTACAAGTGCAGATTTGTTTATAAAATGAGATCAGAGCAAAACGTCTTTTATTTGCAGATTATTTGAAACGTTTGGAAATTGGAAAGTAGCCTAGTATTATATATTTAACCACAGAGGTAAATCTTTGACATATGAAGACAGCCAATTTTATATTTTTATGGTGAAAAGCTATGAAGCTCCAACAAAGATGGCTAAACAAGTAACCAACAACACATTGCTTTGTTGTACTGGAAAATATATAAGAGAACAGGAATATAGCATATATATTTTAAGTAACTTTTATTATCCCTGTCATTCCAACAATTTCACACTAATGCTGTAAAAAGCTTAACAAATAAATAAATGGAAAACAATTTTTCACTTATGTCATAGATTCAAAAAAGTGTGAAGATTTCATGACTGAAAACGAAAGATATTATAGAGAGTTGGATTAACACTACAAAATATGACAGTCTACTACATTTATTTCTAGGAAGACACTTTTAAGTACTTCTGTCCACCAAATCTAGTCATTTTCATTTTAAACATTTCACTGTAATACAGAAAACATTAGCTTTAAACCAGCAATGACTAAAAATATTATTATACAGTGCTTGAGAGGTTTGGAAATTTATTTATAAGTTATTTTTTAATAGTACAATTAAATCTGCTGGTAAGTATTCATTAATTGTGATGTGGAAAGTTTTGAAAGAAACCACAGGCATTTACATAAAAAGTAATATAAATAGGATACCATATATGCTTTTATACATGTAGTTTCTGAAAAATACTGGATTATTCATATTAATCTTATTCCATGATTTTTAATTTATAAATATTCTAGGATTAATTGGATTGACTATTTCCTTCTAATAAGTCATGCAGTAATATTTTTCACTTTCCATGCAATAATGAATGAACTAAAGAAAAGTATTTGATTGTAAAACTTGTAATCAATACTCAGTCTCTCATATATAATTTTTTTATAGGGTCATCATTTTTCTATGAAGTAAATGCTGCCCTGATTGATTTATTTGGTTTGGCAAAGTCTTGTTTACCCAATTATTGGTTACATTATTATATGTTGACTCATTATAAACAATGCTTCTTACTTTCTTTAGGAAAATAAACAAAAACACGAGCTACCAATAGTTACTCAACATTACTGCATGTTTTCTGTGAAAGTTAAGACATCCAGCAGTTTGAAACATTATGAAGAGTCCTGACCAAACCATTATCTCTCTTCCTTCACAGGACATGTATTATGTGAAAATCTCAAAGTCACTTTTTTAATGGCTAGTTTTAAATTGCAGTGGATCAGAAATATAGTCATTTTAAACTGAGTAAGTAACATGAGATTCTGAATGAACTGTACATCTTGATGTTACTACTATCAATAGACTGACTAGTATAAAAAATCAGATGTGTTAAGCAATGTCGCTTTGTGTGGTTTACTTTCAACATGTTTAAGTTTTAAAATGAAATATCTTTAACAATTCTACAAACATTTCATAATTACACGAAATTTGTAATGTAATTATTAACAAATGAATAAATCACATGGAAATTTACTGACCACATATCAAAACACAGTTTCAAGTAATTTCTCTTTTTACAATTGTGACACTTCCCTAATTTTTAGATAGAATGCAACAATTTATTATGTGTTACATAGCTCTCAATCTACTTTATACTTCACTTAAATAAAATGCATTTTTATTAGGGGTGTCACAGTTACTCAGATAACTGCTATGGTTCACATTCCCTGATTGATTCTTGATTTATTTTATACCTAGTTTTCTATGTATCTTGTCATAAATGTTAGGCATTGAAATTCAATTGCTGTTGAAGTTCACTCGCATGGCCATACATACCACATGCAGCAAATGGTGAATACAAAAGTTTAGAACTTACAGCACACAAAGATTAACTTTCCGTCCAATAATGAACAGATGATCTGAAGTAGTAATCTTAATAGTTCAGCTGTTCTGAAATAGAGAATTGATTTAATAAGCTATTTGCTTTTAAATTCACAAGTGACTGATCAAAACTTAAGCCAAACCAGTTAATGGGTTCAAGCATGATGAGTGACAACCCTAATTTGTATAATAAAACTTGAAGACTGTAAAAAACACCCTGTACGATATCCACAAACTAATATACTGTGCAACACACCTAAATCAAGTAAACTTCTGATTACTGTGCAGAATTTAACATCATAAAGCAGATGTACAGAACTACATAGGATTTTAGACGTTTCATAAATGTCCAATGAAAAAAGTGATCAGTTTCAGCACAAATTGAGAATACAATCAACAGAAACATTTCAAAAAAGTCACAAAATGGACACAACTTTTCGTATGACCCGTACGTTCTCTCATGAAATCACAATTTTCATTATTGAGCCTAATTCTGGAAAATTGGTTTTGTACTCCATCACTTATTAAGAAATAAAAATAAAAGCCATATTTACCAAAGAAGTGTTCTTTGACCACACAACTGTGTAGAATTGAAGCATATCACTGACCTATTACTTTTCCAGAATACTAAAATACTGTTCAATGGTTGTAGAGCAGTAAAACATTCAACAGCTTCCTTTTTTCTGTGTACATTGTAACATGCCATTGAATTGTTTCACGTGATTAAAAAAATTGTAATTAATAGGATCCTTATTTTAAAATTTGACCTTGCATTAAAAAATAATAATAATAAATTATGGTTAGGCCTAATCGATTAGTATGCTACAAATGCATTTCTGTATAATTTAAAGAGCTTGCGAGTACTTTATATTTTCAATCTTTAAAAAAGTGCATTCAAATGATTGATAGAAATTAATTTGTCAGGAAAGATCAACCTCAAATTTTGGGTCTAATTTTACAAAACATTATTTTAAAAAAAGTACTCACTTTGGTGCACTTCTAAGATAGCTCTTACCAGAAAAATATGTCAACAAGTTTGGTTACTTAAAGCTCAAAAAATAAAGATTTTAAAAAATAATATAAATGTAAATGGCATAAAATGCAATGACAAATAAGACTGAAATTATTTTTTATCACACTTTGAACAAGTGGTGTTATTTGCTCTACATTTACATGCTTTCATTCTGTGCATTATTTTTAATATTTGCTGTCTTCAATACAACTTCTTGAGATGCTCGTACATGATAAAGAACTGAAAGGCTACTTAAGGAAAAAATCAGTTTTACAAATAAAATTTCCAAAGTGAGAGGAACCAAGAACAAAATCAAAATTTAAAGAATATTAGTTGGTCACATCTGTACTTATTCATAAGTCATGAAACATACAGAAGTATGTGGAAAGTGGAAAACTCTATCAACTAAAATGTTCAACTATGTTAAACTATCAACTAAAATGTTCTCTGTGTTACTCACTGACTGAAAGAAGAGTCTGTACTTTGAACTTGATAAGGAACACACAAAACACTCTGATGCTATAGCTTAAAATTTCAGTGTACTTCCCATATAGAGAATGCTTTTAAATAACTCTGTACACTGTTCTTGTTATGTTACTTAGTAAACAAAGCAAGTATAACTCTACATGTGAAGGAATATTAAGCAGTACTGAGTGCATACAGTCTATACTATACTACAGATTCATAATTTTTCTTCTAATTATTGATATGTTAATTTTGCAGTTATTTACTGAAGGGACTTCAAAGTTACTTATCCTTAGTTGAATAAATCATATAAAAACTTATAGTAAACTACTTTTTTTAAACAGTTTGTATAGAAGGCCATGCAAATTTCACAAGAATAGAGCATTCTACATTACTATTTCAAGATAAACAAGGTTAATGGAATAAGTAGATATGCGCCTTCCAGCTTTTTAAATAATTGTGAATAAAAAAAATTAATACTTGTCACAAATCTTGTATTGATTTTAAGAATTACAGATTTATCCAAGATTACAAGTATCTAAAGTGTTTAGAACTGAGCCCCTACCACCTTACTATAATTTTGTGGCTATGTCCTTGAAGTTAAGTACTATACAAATAGCATGTATAAAAAATTACACATTACTAACAGTACTGAGAAAGGATACAATAATATTCCATGGTCCCAACCGAACCCAAGTGGGTACAAATCCTTTGTACAAGGCTAAAAATCCTTCTGTTTGTACTGTCTGAGGATGATAAAAAACAATGCACATTAAAACATTGTAGTAAGTGATTCTTATTATACAGTGGTGTAGGAAGGAGTTTCAAAGTGGAGATGCTTGAGATTTAAAGTATAAGGTGCTGTCAACTGGCGTGGTCTGGGTGCAGAAAATTAAGATAATAATATAATTTACAGTTACTACATAAGTCAAATATGTAAAAGTGCCTCTGTTTCTTGTGACAAATGTTGTCCTGTAATATATATACACAGCGTGGTCACAGGTAAATAAACACCACCTTTTCAGAAAAAATGAAAATTTTCAGTCATATTCACATGAATTGATATATTTATAATTTAATTTATATCTAGTAGATCTTCCTTTCACTTTGTGGAGTTCGTTGATCCTTTCGGGCATCGTAAGAATCATCTCGTCAGTTTTAGATTGTGGAATTTTTGCCCACTCTTGCTTCAAAACTTGGAGTAGATTGTTCTTCGAAGTTGGTTTTTTTGGTTGTTACTTGACTTGCCGGTCGAGTATGGCCCAGAGGTTTCCGATGGGGTTCAAGTCAGGAAATTGGCTCAGCCAGGGTAACTTCTGGATAACATTTTCTTCCTGCCACTTTTGGGTGTTTCTAGCAGTGTGACACGGTGCTCATTCTTCCTGGAACAACGTTGTGTTCTTGTCCACGAAATCTGAGGAATAAAGTGGCAAGAGTCCTTCCTCCAATATTTCGACGTATTTCGCAAAATTTATGTTGCCAATGCACTTCAATAAGCTCGATCTCCCACCAACCCAAACAGCTCCCAAAACCATCACGCTGAAACCACCATGCTTCACAGTTGGCTGCAATCTGTTGAGCCAAAACTCTTGGTGAGGCATTCTCCAGACCCATATCCTTCCACTATCCAAAAATTGAGCAAATCTTGATTCGTCTGAGAACAATACGGTCTTCCAAAAATCCAGAGGCTTGGTCATCATATCACTTGCCAACTTCTTTCATCTGACTATGTTGGCAGGTCTTAATAAGGGTTTCCGTCTAGCTGCTCTGCAACAATAACCCAATCTGTGGAGAATCCATTGAACAGATTTCGGGCTCATCCCACCAACTTTGGCCACTTCTGCAGTCGTTAATCTGGGATCCATTTCTATGCTCCTCTTGACAGCCCTTTTTGTCCTCTCCGATGGACCCGGACGGTGCTCAGTTGCTTCCTGAACTGCATGATGATTCTGTTGACTGTCGAAAGCGGGATTTCCAAATTCGGCGAAATTTGCCACTGACTTATTCCACCATCTGCTTGACCAACTATCCTTCCTCTAACAAAATCTGACAATTCAAGAGAACCTTGAGTTCTAGGCATGTTGTAGCACAGGATAATTAGTGTGCAGACCATTTTCATTTATATAGTGCTCTGTGAACACAAATTAATTAGCACAAATCAGTTAAATGACGAAAAATTAGGTGTCTATTTACTTGTGACCACTCAGTGTATATACACTATCCTACCAAAAGTCATGGGACACACACCTCTGATTGCAGGAAAATGGGTGTGATCACGAAATATGCAAATAGGGTGATAAGGCCTATAAGGGTGATCAGTGGTTCGCTCAGAAGTCATTTCAAACTTGTATGCTGATTGATAAGTATTTGGAAAGAGTTAACAGAGTTTCAGAGGGGAAGGATACTTGGATGCCATTTGGAGAAAATGTCTGTAAATGTTGTTGCTCAACAATTAAACATTCCCATGTCGACAACTGGCAACGTGCTGAAGAAATGGAAGTTCACAGGTGACAATGAGCCTGAGAAACAACCAGGTAGGCATAAAATACTGACTGACAGGAGCCGACGCACCTTGAGAAGGTTAGGTTACCTCATCTCTCCAACAGACTAGAGAAGCTGTGTTTGGATATGTGAGCAGCCACAGGCAATCCTATGAGTGTTTGCATGCCAGGAATTTTCATGGAAGAGCTACAGCCCACAAGCCATTCATAACAAAAACAAATGCACACCATCGATTGCCATGGGGCAAGGCACACCAAACCTGGACTGTGGATCAATGGAAATTGGTTCTGTGGAGTGACACGCCACACTATATGCTTTTCCGGTCTGATGGACGTGTTTGGGTATGAAGGATGCCTGGAGAATGCTTATTATCTGAGTTTGTTGTCCCAACATTGAAGTTTGGAGGTGGTGGTATCATGGTCTGGGGCTCATGGTATGGACTAGGTTCACTGGTCGCAGTGCATGGATTCATGAATGATGAGTCCTACATTGATGTTCTGAACAATTCTGTGTCACACATTGTGGCAATTTTATGGTACTGGCCTTTACACCTTCCAATATGGTAATGCTTCATGTCAAAAAGCAAGGATTGTGAACATGTGGTTTGAAGAGAATAACATCGGAACATTGCAGTGTCCAGCACAGAGCCCCGACCTCAACCCAATAGAACATCTTTGAGATGAACTGAAATACAGAATTAGGGCAAGGCCATGATGGCCCTCTTCAATAATGGAGCTTACTATTGTTTTAAAGGAGGAGTGGAGCAGAATACCACCATGACACATTGAAACAGTCATTAAGGCCAAAGACAGGCCAACACACTAATAATTTCTTGGAATAAAGATGTTTTATTCGTGTCTCATGGCTTTTGGTAGGATAGTGTATATATATACATATTTGTATTATTATTATTTGTAAGTATTGAGAAAAACAAGTATTCAGTCTAGAATATTATTTCTAGAAAAGTCTGTGAATTTTTAAGAAGAAAGTTACATAATCCAAGTGCCTTTGTTGAGTGTGTCATGAGGAGTATTCAGCAGCCAAAGTATTAGTAAAGTGATATGGCTTTATGTAAAATACAAAAAGGGAAAGAACTAGTTAGAAACAAAAGTAAAATAACTAGACTACTACTTGTATTGTAGCTTGTCAACAAGCAGGACTAAAGAATTGTTCAAACCTTTAAGCTACGTAAGAATGTTTATTAACTATATATATAATAAGAATTGTAAGTGGATCAACTATTAATCTCAAAGTATACACTTGAAGTCTCAGTAAAATATATTAATATAAGTAAAATTAACAACATTAAATCCTTTTCAACAAATTAAAATTTCCATTTTTTGTATTACATTGTACACATACTTGTAACTATTCCTGAGAAAGAAAATACAAATGTTTCATAAAATGGTGGAATAATTTCTTTTTCTCAACTACAAATACATCTGGAAATGATTTAAACATTAATTTTTTTTTTTGCATTTCTAAAAGCCTGAACAAATTAAATAAAAGTAGTGCAAAATCTAAATAAAATAAAAAAAGATTTGTTGGAAATTATTTCCAAGGGCAAATAAATATACTTCTTACCAACACATTGTGTGTCAGGACTTTTGACTTTAGAATTAAAGATTTATAACCAAGCAGTAATTGTGATACGATTTCCCACTTAAATATTCATTTAAAATAAATAAGTTATAAATATTCTTAAATGGTTAGAAAAAATGTTTAAGGTGAATAAGATTTACACATATATATGATGTAGATATTCTTAGTGAAGAAGTGTCATACTTACTTGAACTGCACAGTGCAATGAGCTTGTGTACATAACCTCTGCTCTACTACCATTTACTACAGCTGCTTTGAGTCTCCTCTGATTCATCAGTCGAGTCTGTCAAACACGTTGTGTATTTAAAATATTACCTTTATACACACAAAGTACAATAATTAAATTGTCTACCACAAATCCTACACTTTTATTTCAGTTATGTAAGTAATATCCACCTACATTAAAAATTACAGAAAAAACTTGGCAAGCTATGGGACTTCTTCTTGTGTTTGATGAGCACTTATGGTTTTGCACATACATTTTTTAGTGGAAAGTTCTTGAAATCTTAAAAACAAATAATTAATACATCTTTTCTTAATTAAATATCAAACTGAAATGGGTTTTAAAATTGACAAACCATTCTATAGTAGTATAATAGTTTTAAAACCAAAAATGTTTAGACACAACAAACAATTTATACTATACTTCCATCAAAGATATTTATAATTTTGTTTTTCACATTTCCATGGGAACAGAACAAAATTTATCTAATACACTCTCATTACTTTGCACTGATCCTTGGTTTTACTTAATAAAGAATAACTCACCCTAACCACATCAACTGGAGTAGATGCAATGGCTCCTGTAACTCCAGCTATAAAACTAGATCTAAAAAAAATAAATTAAAAGCCTTACTGATAAAAAACACATCTACACAATTCTTTGCCAAAATGATATGCATTTTTTTTATTGTAACTTCTGTACTCTTCATGGATATCCACTCATTCTTCTATCCATTCTTTTTAATAGAGAAAAAAGGAAGCCAAAACAACATACAAAATCTGATGCACTGTGACTGAAACTTAACTAAGTAATGATTATAGATAGATAAATTAGTAAAGATCTATTTCCCAAAGCAGTATAGCTAGTGTAGGATCCTAGTAGAAGATCCTTTTAATCTTTTCCCTATCAGTGGACTTAGAAATAGCAACTTTTGTTTTGGTCAACAAAAACTGCCTTTTGTATTAAAATAAATATTTCTCTACTGATTCTCTTTATTTGAAAAAGCTATACAGTTTTGAGATGGGAAGCAAAAAAGTTATTACAAATAAACTATGTTATTTTTATAGACATGACTCCACCTAAATTCCAGGAGGTGAGAAATATAACCATAAATAAACCCAAGCAGGAGTCACAAATAACTTGTACTTGCTTGTGTGTAAATAATTCAAATTAAAAAACATTATATATATATATATTTTTTTTTTCTATTTCCAATATGCACTATAAATGCACAAGTACATTTGCCAAGTTTATAAATTTGCATGTAGATCTCTAGGGGTAAGTTGACAAATAATCTTGTAATTATAAAAGTTTTTTATTTATACACTACATGCTAGACATAGCAAACTTCTCAAAGAAGGAAAATGAAACTATAAGTAATACAGCAAACCTTTTTAAAAGACCAACATTACATATGTTCAAGGTGTTATCGATGTATGTGAAACTAAAAAGTCTTTAAATATAAAAAAGAATTAGTGATAAGTGATGCTATGGCTCACTCGTTATATTGCATCATGACTTACACTGTTTTAAGTATAACCTGTAGTATTTGAGTTATCCTAATCCATAATGTATAATAGATTAAAGATTAGGATAACTCAAAGAGTGCAAGTTATACTAATAACTAAAAAATGATCACCCAAAACTAGCACAGGATAGTATATAATTACAGAGCTTTGCATTTTTTCTCCTTTAATGTGGCTTGCATGAATTTACAAGTACAATCAAGAACATTATTGCAGAGAATTTAATGATAGTGTTGCTCACCAACTTATCTAAGTGTAGGCAACATTGTTTATCTATTGAAAATTCTCATTAAACAGACATGACCAAATAAAATTGCACCCTCATATGTTTTCATTTAGGTTCCTCCAGATCAGTTGCACCTACCTGTATTATAACAACAGAACAGTGCTCACATTTTCCCCCCTAAAGTGGCATTTTAAAAATTAAAAAGCATTTTTCACAGATCAAACATTATTTCCATGACTCAACTGACAATTATTCATCAGTTAATATCTGATAAGCATCGTGGCATTAATCAGCTACTAGCAAAATTATCCAGAACCACAACCAAGTAAAACATTTTACTCATTAAGTTTTTCATTCCTGTTTCCTGTAAAAAAACAAAAAAACAACAACAACAAAAAAAAACAATAGCTGAAATTTAATTAACCCTTTAACAACTGCTACACTTTTGAAATACCTTTCTGTGAAGTCACAAAGTGTTACCGAGTTGCAGTCAAAAGAAAACTCTTAAAGAAACAATTAAAACTTCAGTTTTTTTTATCATGTGATGCAAACAGATTTGGTTGCTGCTTATGTTTCTGTTCAATTTTGTCTCAGTACCTGTATGACAGTCTAGACAAGCTTCTACAAGTACAAGGTTGAACTCTAAACTTTAGTTTCATTTTACAGCAGCTAACATTCCAGGAAGGAGTTTATTTCTTTTTCCTTTCTGATAGATGCCACGCCCACCTTCCAAATTTGCTAAGCAACATTTTTTCTAAACTTTAATGGATAGTCAATATTCAAAAAGAAAAAATGCTCGAGCAAATAATTAATTTAAAAATCTGATATTTTGTGTAATTTTTAATGATAACATGCAAAATTTCATGAGGATACATGTAGATTTTAAAAAGTTATAGTATAACATTATGATTACTTGGAAGGATACAGGCTGGGTGGAATCCACCCACCTGTAGTTAAAGACATTTAACTTGGGTTGCTTTAATTGAAATAATAATATTTTCACTATTTGTTGCAATTTCATTATTCATTAAATTTTTATTTTCATAAATATTAATTTTTGATGAAGTTTGTACCATCTTGCTATCCAACTCCATAGTTAGATAGTGAAGTGTTATGTTAATTTAACACAGATGTTAAACTATTCTGCAAGTTAAACCTTCAAAGCCATTTAATATGCATTCAGTGGTCTCAACATTATTAGGGAGGATTATATAAAGTTTTGTATATACTGGTATCACACTTTTCAAGGGACAATCAATGAATGGTGGATAGTGCATTAAATTGAATAACTAATTTTGTGTGTTAAATGCTCTGTTACATTTTTTAAAATTTTTTGTTCATTATCAGTATTGGTTAAATGTTAAATTTATATGTATTTATATATTTCATTATTTTACATTGTTATATCAAGATTTATGAGTAACCTAAGTCTTCTTAGCTAGTTAAACTTGGTGAAATATTATTGGGATTATGGCCACAAATATTGGTAAAACTGGGTGTACCCAACTGATGATTCTAAGTATTCTAATTTTTTACAAGTGATATTGGTATATTACATTACCTATATTAATTACTGAGATAATTCTTATTTCTCTGTGTAGGTATTACAGCTTGTTTTGGTCAAAAGTTAATGATGAATTTTTTTATTTTCAAGATAAAGTACCTTATCAGAATCAAATTGTAAATATCAGGCCTCGGCATAGAGCCCAAAACAGCATTCCACTTAAGAAACAAGAAAAGGACCAGTCCGTCACAAATTTTATCCCTACATTGTAAGTACCATGTTTATCCATTATCAAATAAAAAAACAATTAACATATTGCCTAGTTTGTTATTTAATAAAAAGTTTTGTATTGATTATTGATGCCTTTTATTCAGCAGTAAAGGAAATAAATATAGATTAGTCATATTGTTGAGATCAGTGTCCCTAGCACTTAACTATTTTTTTCACCTTATTCATATTACTCTGATAGACAGTTAAATTGCATTTAAGTTTTACTTTTATATTTTAATTAATTATGTATTATTTGTGTTTTAAAATACATATTTGAAAGGTACAGTGATTATTTAAGTTTTTCTACTCATTGCTTTGCTAGTCAACGGTTACAAAAATAGGCGAGTGTAAGCCAGAGGCTAAAGCGTCGCTGCCAATCATAACGTTACATGGCCCGCGGCCATTTGTTTATGTTTCGACATAAATAATAAAAAATAAATAATTGTGAAGAAAAATAAAACATTAAAATTAAATTATAAATGAAAAGGTAAAATGTTGAAATTAAAAGAAGAGATAAAAGGTAAGTACGTATTCCCAGTTCATAGTTTTAAACATCTCATTGCACTGTATGTTGATGATAATATCTAGAGTTAGTGACATAGTAGAGAAAATGGAAAGTAAAATATAAACATTTACCTTTAGAAAACTTTTGATATTCATTTAGCAGGTTCTAGAGATTATGCAAATGAAATGTGAAAACCTATAAGATAATAAAGAGTATTTTTTATACTCAAAATGAAAATCACATTGCAGATAACCTACTCGAAATCCAAGTGAAAATAACTACATTAAATAACGAATTTTCTTAGAAATATTAGAAAAAATTCCAAATTAAATATTTTATTTTTCTGAAACTATGTACTTTTATGAAGGTTCTTGTCAAATTTCAAATAATTTCACCTACTACTTTTATTTTTGGAACAAAATATAAAAATAGCGTCATTAGATCCTACAAATTGTAAGATCCTGTAGTCATAGGGTTAATTATGTTTTATTAAAAGTATTTAAATAAGCAGACCAGCAAGTCATATGACAACAACATTCAATATAAAGTTGTGGTGGAGTGGCATATAACTGAACTATATTTTGACATTGTCTGGCATTTCTTAGTGTGGTGCTACTGAAACGTGATTACCTTTTGGGAGGGTTGTAACTACCCATTCCAACACAAAATATTCATACACTTAGATCATAAAGATGTGTTTAGATAAAGGATTTAGAACTCCCAAAACACAAATATCTCTTGTACCTAATGGCATTAACCCTATCTCTATGGGTATCCTTTACTGCACATGACACAAGGTTTTAGTGTCTTACATTCAAAATTTTATTAAACTACTTTTTATAAGTTTTAAGTTCTTAATTCTACAAGGCAATATAAAAAAAATCCTGAATTTCCCCTAGTGTGACCCATGTGACACATTTTCTCTTAGCATGTCATCTTCCCTATTTTATCCACCACCCCTCGAAAAAGTACGAAATTAAATGTAAATTACTCTATAAAATTGTCATTGCTCAGACAAACCAAAATTTTTATAGTATTCAATTTTGTTTGGTTACAGAGCTATCGAATAGAAAATCACACCCTTCCTGCCACAGCCACCTGTCACATTCTCTCTTTCAGAATTCTTTATCAGTTCTCTCTTACGTTTAATTATATATTACCTATAACTAATAGAAAGTCAAGGTTTTCACCTATCAAATGATGTATTGTATAAAGTTATGTTCTGAATGGTTAAATGTCAATTTCACTCAGAGTACCAGCATTATTCCCATGAGAAAGTTAATGACTAGCTTGGATGAATTTGTCATGACTCTTGTCGCATAGCTAAGTAAGCCAGAAAAATTTTAGAGGTAAGGGAATTTGTCTCCTTTTTGAATATTATTAGTCTATATTGTTTGGTGCATTATTTAATTAAATAAAATTTTTTAAGTGCATTACTATCATTAGTATAAAAAAATTAGGGTTAATTCTCAACAACAATCGACAGTAAGAAAAAAGAAGATTGGTTAAGTATTTTATTTCTTGTTTTTCATGTTTATTCTTTATGTATAATTATAAAAGTAACTAAAAAGTAAAAATAAGGATCCTTTTAGGTTAGTTAAGATTAGATTAGGTAAAATAAATAATAATATAAAAAAAAAATAGCTTCACAAGGCACACACGTGAACATGTAATTTGATAGCGTAACATGAGCTGCACGTTCCCCAAGTGATTTACAACTTATAATGACACAGATAGTAGTTAGACATGGTTCAAAGGGCAATAAAACAATAAAATGTAATTATAAATAGATGTATACTATTACAAACTTAGAGCTACTTAGGATAAACGAATGTCGTTTCATGTTACAATTTGAAGTCATTCTAGAAAGAAAAAAAGGGTAATTTAGATTTATTTAGATTTTTTTTTTGGTGGTTATGAGGTTGGTCGAATTGACTGATTCCGTTTTGAGATATGGTAGAAAAAATAACAGATAAACTATAAAGTTTCACTGAAAAAAAAACGTTTGAAATGCATTTAGGACGTTTTAGGAATTAAATAAAGGAAATGTGAGATTTTTGATATGAGGAAAAGTATTTTTAATTTTAACATGAAAATTACTTTTCACACAAACTGTTCAAAACAAATACTCAATATATTCATGGACAAATTTTTATTATATTTTATTTAAATATTTCACTAAAAAATATGATTTTTTTTATGTGAAAGACTTGTATTATTATCTGAAAGACTGCCAGATTTTGTGAAGATATACACACTATATTGAAAGTTAGAAGTATTAAATCTATAAAGACTTTAAATGAGTACAAAGAGGTCACGTGATCAGTCAAATTGACAGAGCCTGTGTTGAGAGTTAATAACAAAAGAAGTGGTATCCCAACTGTGGTAAACAAATTGATGCACCTTATAAAGAATGAAAATCCACAAACACAAAAATTCAATGGCAAAAGCTATCCATATGCCCCAAGCAAAAGTACATAACGTAACCAAGAAGGATCTCTAACTGTACAATTACATGTACATAAGTTACTTCCATGACACATACAGGAAAGGAAGACCAAACTGCATGAATGGTACCTATTAGGGGGTAAAATGGCAGCATGTGGTGACACTCAATAGAGCACATATGCAACACGTCATGCCATTTTCCACTGGCCCATGGGTAAAAAAAAATTCAAGTATTAAAAACATGTTACAAAAATTTTAGAAGCGATTCATGATCATCACTGGATACTGGCCAGGAGCAAGTTAAGGACCAGGTCAAGTGACCTCTTTTTACTATCAGACCAATGTTCTGAACTCTTTATACTATATAAAAATACTGGCTCTGTTTGGAAATGAGACCAACAGGATATGGCTTCCAGACATACTTTCCATTCAACTATTTCATACATCAAGCAGGTGGAATATGAAACAGGTGTTCATCCATGCTGTTACATTCAAGGACATAATGGTCAAGTCGATGGATATAGTGACTATGGATTTCTGTGCGATCAGACTGTTTAAATGGGCACTGGGAAACTGTTGTCCTCATACACTATATGAATTATAAAAGCAGTCAGGAAAGTGATGTGCATATGATGGAGCCATCTGCAAATGAAACTATGCTGCAGGCCTATTGTCAACATGCACATTCCTCAGACAGAGCATGTCTAGACAAGGTTATATAACATACTCAATCCTCTTTTTATCTGTTACATTATAAAATGAAGTTGGGGTTTTCCTTTAGTTCAAAATTTAAAATACTGTGTCCTCTTGGACATTAATTGTTTATCAAAAAATACAACATCATTTAAGCAGAAAATATTTTGAGTTTGGTAGTCAGCAAACCTACATATTTATAATGAGCAGACATTTTAGTTTTTGGTCAGGCAACAACTGTTCCTGACTAGTTGAACAAGGAGTAGAATCATCTGACAACTTCTAATATACACTTGGGATCAAGCTGATTGTGAAATAATTAATACAATGGTTCCCTCATATAGAGAATCCTTTGTTATGATAACTGTATGTGAAGTACTCAGATCACAAACATCAGCATTTAATTAAAACTGTCATGAAACACAAATGGTATTTATTTATAGCTCTTAAGAGAATGATGCTTCAAGTGACTTTTTTATGTGAGTACAGAACTGTGGTTACTGCAGAATGCATATTACTTCAAATTTAACTTTATTATAAGTTACACACAGTAGTCATACCTATGAAATCTAAATATATGAGCTCCAACAAAAGTCTGAGAGTTTGGATCTTTAAAAACAACAAATATTTGTACATACATGAAATGTGTGATAACATTATCTGCCAAAACTCCTGACAAAATAAGATTTTTCTTAGTGATGTCATAAACAGGAAGTTCTACACCAACTACGATTGCTGCTCTTTGGGCAGTTGGCCCCACTCCCTAAAAGAATAAAAAAAAGAAACATTTTGATTTTCTTAGCAATACCTTTGTCTTAGAGTAAATGTCTTTTGAAGTTTAAAGGCACAGATAATCAATACATGACAAGTACAAGTAGCGTTAATAAAACACCTATGCTCCCACTAATGTTATACTTCATGTTTAAAGTCTCCCTATTTCTTTGATTTTGATCTTTAATTCATGACCTTCAAAAGTTAGATATATCTAAGTCTTTGTATGTAGTACCTGTTGTATAAGTTTGGTCAAAACTCATCCATTCAAACTTGAGGTAACTTGTCCACAAGATTAGGAAGGACAGGTGAAGAGAGGGATTGGGGCAAACTGCTATGACTTACTCTGCTTCACAAAGCAGTGGGGCATAATTAAAATATAAAACTTATCAATTAATATAAAGTAAATGCAGGTTTTTTTTTTTAATAATGCTTTTTTCCAGTAAAATGAGAGTTTATCACACGGTACAATCATATCACTTTTCAAGAAACTGTGTAACATATGAATTGTCAAACAATGAAGAAAATATGACCATTTTAACATTGAAAAAAGGTAACATAACTCACTTTCCAGAGGCCTCGGATGCCTTCACTTTTGTAGATATTCATGAAGCAATTAAACATTCCTTTTTTGGCATACTGTTGGTGTTGAGCCTGCATTCGCACCTAAAAGTTGGTAAAAAGATAATTCATGAACATCACATGTCAGAACAAAGATATCTTAAAATGTCAAGACAAGTAACTTCATGTTGTCTTGTCATATAACTTTGGATAATGAAAGGGTTGAATTACCTTTATGGGTAATGACAACCTGAACTATTAGGAAAAATTGCTACTATCATACTTCCTAAAAAACATTCAACACAATAGTTGAATAAAGATATAATACCTTTCAATATTGAACTTTTAATTAAAGAAAGTTTATCTATAATAAATGAACACTGAACTTTAGATAATAACGCAGCTTCACAACAATTAATTCTATTCTGAATACTTGTATAATATTGTTACATTTGTTGTATTATCCTATTCTTTCTTGTTTATTTGTTTGTCTTTTAATTTACTTCATCCTTTTATTCTGTATTTTAATAACTATTTATAAAATCTTTGAACTTTATAAATTTTTGTACCTAATATTTTACCCTGTTCAATATAGCTTGCTAAAGATGGAATATGTATATTCCAAAACATTCAAGAATTAAATGTTTGTTACTGTACACACACATCAAATATTCATTGTTGCTCCCACTGTTCTACTGTTCATTATTAATCCATTTCTTTTATAAGTACATATTTGTACTATATTCTAATGTACTGATAATTTTGTCAGACACTTGGATCATCAACAAAATGTGCAAAAAAATATATCTAAAAACCTTTAAAACATCAGTAGGGTTGGCAATAGATGATGATATAACTCCAGCAGTAACTCCACATATAACATTCTTCAGCAATGTTTCATCTAGAATAAAGAATAATCATGTTTTGTACTTGCATCACAAATATAATTCTGATACAATATCATGATAAGTTGGCTAATAGTACTAGTACTCCCATTTGCAGTTATCACACACAGAGAAAGAGGAGCAAATATTTATGTTGTCACAAACAATGAAGCTCTGAACTATTTTAAGGTCAAATTGTATATTCTATTGGATTTGTGAATGATTATTATGATGAAACATGAACAATTATAATCAACAAAAATTATAAATCTAAATATACTATAAAAGTATGTAGAAAATTCTTTATAATCTTTGCTTTATACCAACTTATCCTGGAATTTTTAAACATGTAATTTGGTGAGAGGTCATTATGAATTTTCATTGTCATCATTACCATATGTGGCTGTAATTTTTAAAATATAAGATATTTGGAATAATAACCATAAAAACTACAGTAAGAAAATATTTCGAACTTTTTTCCCCATGCTCACTACTTATGTTTAAAGCATTAACAACATAACCTCTACTAGATTTATTGTTTGTTTTTAAATGGTCTTACTTTATCACATGTGAAATAAAGTGATGTATTCACTTTTATATTTATATTTATCTGCTAAAGAAAGTATACTGACTTCAAAGATACACAAATACTATCTATCCTTATCCATTTCTTTTGAGGATAACAGCCCCAATTATTCAAGACTTTTTCTATCTGTTTTAATGCTTAAGAAATTGCTTTTATTCATATTACTCATAAGCTCTCAATCTTTCACATTAACACTTTGTGTCCTTTCTCTAATCTAAAAAAGTATAAGTTCATGTTAGTCAAGGCCAAAATTTGAAAATTTATTTTTTGTTTTGAAAATCATAATATAAGATACTTGATGTTTTCACTGTGACCATTAAGGTAGCAGCACATCAGAGTTCCCAAAAATAATACTGGTATTATTTACTATATGTACATTTCTACCTCTCTATTTGTAATTTATTTGTATAAAACTTCTGTAAGTAACAGATTAAAAATACTTTGTTATATTAATATGTCAATAAATTTTACACATTTCACAAAGGAGGAGCTTGATAACACAAGTAACTTTTACATCACATACACTTACTCATTGATAAGGGAAATAATATACAATCACATTTCAACTTCATAACTTTTTGTTAATCTGCATATCCAATTATGGCCTACTTAGAAAACAACCAAAAGTACCAAAGTCCTGAAGAAATGCATAAAAAATATATTTAATATTCACTAAACAAACCTGAAAGTTTATTAACTGACTTCCTACACATGAGCAAAAATGGAAGCCAAAAAAGCTAACATAATATCTACCCGTAAGCCAAAGTGAAGTTTGATTCAAAAACATGGAGATTGAATTTATGGAAATAAGTATACTTTCTAAATCCTGGAAAAAGTTCTTTGGAGTTTATCTCTCAGTCAACCTTACAAGGATTCACCTTCTCACTATAATCTTCATATCCTTAAGAGACGCATTTAATGGGGGATGAAATTAAGAGATTAAGTACCTTTTCACATCAGAATGAATAACTGTGAAAATAAAAACTGGAACCACATTCAGAAACCATATGTTGAGAAATTGACAGCAAGTATACTTGTTGTAAATGATGTAGATTCCATTTAATCAGCAAAACAATCATTCAGTGACCACTGTAACAGCAAAACAATGTGCAAAAAACCTGATTTATATAAAAAGAGTTAGGGGAAACTACAGCATGACAAAGCAATGAATTGGATAATAACAAATATGGTTACTTCAGTAACACAACATTAAAAATTCAACCAACAAACACTAATCTAGGTGAATGATGATGATGAGACATAAATAGAACACTGTTCAAAAGATGGAGATACATCACTAATTTCGATAGCAGATTTGAGATTATTAGAATAAATAATGAACATTTGTATCTGATTCAGGCTAACAAGTCTTAAGCCAAAATAAATCAAAATTAGAGATGAGATATCTTAAAGTTATGAAACAGATCATATCAGGTCCTCAAAATGGAAGTAATCAGTCTGAGCTACAAGAGTAGATAATTACTAAAAGAGTTCATTACATGTTATTCAAAATCATAATAAATAGGGGAAAAGCTAAACACCACATTAATATAGCTATTTAAAATACATATATCAATTCTAGAGAAAGGTAAAAATCGTTTGGGGAGGGGGGAGACAACAGTAAAATTCACAAAATGTTTCTCTTGTAAGACAGCAGCTAGATAAAGAAGGTGAAGTAAGAGTTTAAAAATATACAACACAGTCCAAATTTCACATCACACATATTCTGTAAATAGATCATGAAGCCTATAAAGATATGAAACAGTAAGTCAGTATGAGTGAAATATCATACACTTTAAACTTGTTTACAAGCCATTTCAAAAACCTATAACATCAATGATAAAGTTTACAGACAGCAAAAAGAAGCATTCTACCACAGATCTAGTGATGTTTTTAAAACCTGCATATTTGGGATAAGTATTAAAACTCAGTGATATTGCTCTAAGGTCCCTACTCAATAGGGTGTCACACCATGATATCAACAGCATATCTGTAAACATTTCTGTTTAACTCAAAGATGATAAATATTCTGTAATGAGCAATAAGACTGTACCTGATATCAAATTGTACTATTAGTTTTTAAAACAATGTATATAGCAGAATAGGAACTTAATATGAAAATTCAACCAACATATATTTTAACAAACAATACACATCACATCGCATGCATGCACAGGGTAATTTATTTCCAAAATGTTGACCATAAATGTCCCTTTTTTTCTTTCAAGTTTATAAAAATATTGAATCCTATTTTTTTGGCTGCTTTAATGAAATTAGCAGCAACACTTGTTAGTAATCACATATAAGCATACTTTACTCATTAAATGACCAGTAACTGACTCCTTGTTCTATTTTCCTTAAAATATTATAAAAACATTCCAGGAGAAAAATTTGTGCTTTCCGTATGAAAAATGTTTTTGATTGTGGTATTTAGTATTTGAATGCACTAAGTTTATAACATCAGTGTCCAACAGTTTTTTCATAATTGCCAAAATTGTGGAGAATGTGTTAATGTTTTTGCCACATTACAAAAAAAATATGAACTATGTTTTTACAGATATAGAGGGGTACAAAAATACACAGTTTTCAATTATTTATTGATAGAATATTGCAGTAAGGTTTCTCCAGTATTTTATCCACAAAATAAATAAAAAAGTGGAAACATTTTAAACTGGTACATGTATAAATGAATTTTATTAAAAATTATATCTAAAAAAGATAAGTGGTAGAAGTAAAGCACCAATTTGCCACAGGTCAATAGCTGTTTTACCATGTTAGACACTACTGGTTTATAAAATGCAAAACAGTTAAGTGACTTGCCAAGACTACCAACATAATAGGTTAGGTACGTAGATATCTGAATGAATCTGATGGCCATTTTTGACATTTCAAAGACTGTGAGCTTAAACGCATTCCACAACACAATATCTACTAAACACCTGTAGTACAAAAGACACTTCGGGCTAAATTGTGCAATAAAAAATGACAAACTAATTGACTTATCTGGCAAAGAGACATCAGATTTAGCAACACTTTCAAAACCTGAGTATCAGGGGCAAGTATAAAAGCTCAGTGATATTGCACTCAATAGGGTAGTGATATCAGTACTCTAAATGTCTAAAAACAAATGAAAAAATTCACATAAAACCTTTAAATATGAACACTGCTGTCTGAGATGGGGCTCCAAGGTATGACAGATCCATTTCCCAAATACCTTTCCCTTTGTCAAAATACTATCTACACCCACCCCTCCTAGACACACATGTTGACACCATCTTTACTTTCCTACTCCTAATTTCATTTTTGTATAGTTCAATGAAGTTTCAAAAGCTCCCATGCACACATGATGATGTCTAACTTATAAATGCATTACATCAAATTAAGTTCTTTAAAATGTCCAACAGAAGTATCTTTCCTTAAAGTATAAATATATGTAAAATGAGGAATAATCATTGTGAACACATTTAATGGAATGGTTAAATATTTCCCAATGCATTCAACATACTTATTTTTGTGTAATTAATCACATTTAAGGAAACAAAATTAAATTTCTGTAATTTACATTTCTTTTAATGTTTGACACAGAAAACATTTTCAGAAGGATAATTTCTTTCTTTTCCTTAGTTAAGTCTTTAACAAATCAAATACAAAACATTTAATCAATAAGCAATTTGCAACTGACACCATTTCCTTGTTATATATCCATGAAGACATTGGGTGGGAGTGAAAAACACTAATATTGATTACTGATGAAAGATTTAAATATCCAAAGCTACTGTTAACTGCACATATATCTTTAAAGTTTATAAGAATTATACAATACACCTAGAAGTACTATGCATTTTTTGATTTCTCAAAGTTAACATTTTCCTGAACTGAAAATGTATTTCTGATAGATACTTTCTCTCGATTACTACTGCCCTCTTTTGGTGCAAATTTTCAATGCTTGCCACTAGCCTTCCACCTCCCACTGCTGCATATTCACATGTAAATGATTATGCAGCAACTCTCCACCAACAGGAGTGCAACACAATTCCTATTGTAACCAGCGCCCTCTCCACATTTGCACCCGTTAATCAGTTTGAGATTGGTCGGAAGACCCACATGACATATCACCGGAAGTGGGGAGGCTGGGTGGGAAATGTGAGAGGAGGTGAGTATCTATCAGTAATATAATACTCCCTCTCAAAAAATAGCAAGAATTTCACATTGAACTAATGGAGGGCTGGTGAAAAAATGATCCACCTTTAGGAAGTGCCCAAAGAGAAAGCATGAGTTGTGGAACCACAAAAGAAAATATCACATCTCAGCAGGAGACTGCACCACATCTGTTCCAAGTATACTCTTTTCTATTTTATGACTGGGTCACGAACATAAGAGGCAGAAAAACATTAAAGAATCCCATAATACATATTACTGATTAATGGGACC